TCATGCACTACATCTCCTTATTTATGTTGTGGCGGGGTTTATCATGCATTACATCTCTTTCTTTACCTTGTGGTGGGGTTTATCATGCACTACATCTCTTTCTTTATCTTTTGGTGTTATTATAAGAAGAGCCTTCCACCTCCAGGTCAACTGAATAAAAACACTGGCATCAATATCTTTAACTTCAACCTCCTCATGCAGAATAAGAGATATTTACCGTTCCTTCCTACACCATTAGTCTTCCAGTCGGTGGAATGTAAATTTGCCATTCGAGCCGTTCTTACGACAACGTGCTGCATGTCTCTCCACGTTAAGTGTTTGCTGTAACATAAGAATTTCATGTCTTTAGTTACTGAGTGGGTTAGGGTAACATGATTATTCCAAAGTAATTACAAATGGTTTACAGTCTCGCCACGTTAAGTGTTTGCTGTAACATAAGAATTTCATGTCTTTAGTTACTGAGTCGGTTAGGGTAACATGATTATTCCAAAGTAATTACAAATGGTTTACAGCTTTGTAACCTGTGCATAAGAGAAAACAGTGACCACAATATCACAATATGAGAGAAAAAAAAGTAATGGTGTTACTGGGTTCCAACCAATAAACAAAAGCAGTTTTATTTTAAGTTTACTTACAGATCATAAGTATTATTTTATTATGATTACAGCTTTTACAGTAAGCATATTATGTAAAATTAGACTAACTTAGCTTCTAGTGTAAGTGCACAAATTCCAGCAGCTAAAGGAGCTGAAGCCGACGTTCCTGTGTGTTGTGAGGTACACGAGTGATGCAGGTCTGATGTGATCTAAAAAATGAAAAAATAAAACTTAATTTTTTTCTTGTCTATTTTTAACCACAAAGCTACACCATGGTCTATTTGTCCACGACAGGTATCAAAACCTAGTTTTTAATGTTATAAGCCTTCAGACTTACAGCTGAGCCACTGGAAAGCTTTTCTTGTCCACAAAGTTTTATTTTTTTAATGAAATACTATGCATTATTTCATTAAAAATGGAGAACACATATCTAGAAAACAGCATAGATATAACTTAAGGAACTTTAAACGTGAAAGAAAACCTAATGATGTTAGAATTCAAACTCTTTACTTGATTAGACATTCTTACAATTATTTAACCAGTTAGTATCAGTGTAAAATACACGAGAAAAGTATAACTTGGTTATAGTTATATCAGTTTTTACTAGTTGGCTTTGTACATTCAAATTTTACATAAGTATGGCTAAAACACAAGAGGTAAATTGGAGACTATTTTAATACATAATTTACTTTCTTCCCTAAATCTGCTTAGATAACAAAGATAAATAAAAAATCTTTAAAATAACTTACAAATTTTGATATAATTTCCAGATTCACTAATATATATATATCTACATATAGTGGTTAAGAAGAAGGCAAATAATAAACGTATTTTTAAAAAACTTACAGTTTGTTCCACCCCACCCCCCAACTGACTACTATACATAATGGTTTATGTAAAAGTAAATAAATATATTTAATTAAATTAACTTACAACCCCCTTTCTCCTGAATCATTACTAAATTTAATGGCTAAAGTACGAGGGGAAAAAAGCTTCTTCATATTGACTTACAATTTGCCTTTCCCCTCCAGATCCACTACTGTACGTCGTTGCTAATGTTGAAGAACAAGCCTCACTATACCACGGAACTAGCCCGTTCTCCGTGGCACTGCTGATGGACAAGGTCCAGATAGAGTTTGTGTAACCATCACAATTACAATTGTCATGGTTTCTACCCCCATTACCAGACGCCCACACAAATATTGAGCCCAGTCCTCCACGACCCTGGAAATAAAAGAAAGAAACAGTATTTTTTAGTAACTCCTTCGACTGATAATTCTTCTTCTTCTGGCCTCAAAGCACAGGTAAGTTAATACATTTATTACCCCTTTCAATTACAAAATAAGATAGGACAAATAAATAGGTATCTTATTAATCTCACAATAATAAAGATTAGTAATAATATGTTGTTAATCAACTTCGGTAAAACAACCACAAATATTATTTCTAATTAAAACCTTAGTAAAATAAAAATGAACAAGCACAAAAGGCTCACTATTTACACTGAAAGACTAACTACATGAAGAACCTTTATGTCTGTCAAGAGATCAGATGATTTTTATTTAAAGTATTAATAATATAATGAACATTACATACAGAAAAACACATCACAGTACTTTCAGTTGTGAAACAGCAACATGTAAAACATTCACATAAAAATTAAATGTGGCAGGGAAAGAGAACAGAAGGTTATTGTAATTTCTGTGAGCAATGAACTGAAGAAGTTATCTCAAGCATTTCATTAAAACTTTCAAATCCTAAAATTGACAAAGAAAACTCCACCAGGTGACTAATATATCTGTTCTACATATACAGGAGTTAAAGAAGTCTCAAACAGAAACTTTAATATTAAATTCAATTTGATTACTTACTTACAGGTTATTATTACTACCTAGTACCTTGAGGATGTTTTTTTTTTATGTGTAATTTTTTATTAACTATTATGCAACTATAGTTTAGAAAAATAAAACTGCCTTTTCAATTCCCTGAATAAAAGCTTTGGTTGCTAGCTTTCCTGGGCCATCAACCGTTTTTCCATCATCATCAGGTCCCCATGAGGCACTGTATATATCAATATGTTGAGAGTTTAAGCTTAATGACCGGGCTTCAACTGCATCAGTAACATCTCCATCCAACATTCGAACACCTGGGAACACAAAGATGTTAATTCACATCATCAGATGTGTAACAAAGTGGAAGACTGAATCAAACGGCTGGTAAATATACAACCTTGTTGATGTATTAAACATCGTATACGATTACATGAACAAAGAGATAAGTAAATGGATTAAATAATATTCAAAAATGAGAATGTTAGATAGGCAGACTCATAGTCTAAAGGATCAAACAATATAGACAAAGAGGATGTTAGATAGGCAGACTCATAGTCTAAGGAATCAAACAATATAGACAAAGAGGATGTTAGATAGGCAGACTCATAGTCTAAAGGATCAAACAATATAGACAAAGAGGATGTTAGATAGGCAGACTCATAGTCTAATAGATCAAACAATATAGACAAAGATGTTAGATAGACAGACTCATAGTCTAAGGAATCAAACAATATAGACAAAGAGGATGTTAGATAGGCAGACTCATAGTCTAAGGAATCAAACAATATAGACAAAGAGGATGTTAGATAGGCAGACTCATAGTCTAAGGAATCAAACAATATAGACAAAGAGGATGTTAGATAGGCAGACTCATAGTCTAAGGAATCAA